AAGAAAAATGAATAAAAATATAAAGAAATATTAATAATAAAAGTAATTAAAAATATTAATAATCTAAATTAATAATTATGATATATATAGTGATTATTTGAGTAATAATATGCTAAATTTAGATGTATTAAATACATAATAATCATCTGTGTATCCAGAGTAAAAATGATCTTCTTAAAAATGTAATACAAAGCTAATCTGTTATATAGATAGCACAAAATAAAGATCTAAGCTAAAAGAGATCTAAAAAAAGATAACCTAATCAAAATTATTACATCAATAAAGCTATAGTTAACTTAATTTTGGCTCTTAATAATTTGAAGTTTATAAATCTTTTAATAAATATAATAATAAATGAGTATATTAATATAAATAATAATTTGATTAATATATAATTGTATATGAAAGAAGAAATTTCTTATGGCCAAGAATATTTAATAACAAATATAAGTACATGCTAAAGAAGATTCAAGTGATAAAGAGAAGACTATTATTTCTATACAAATAGAAAGAGAAGCTTTCAAGTTAGCTAAAAAATTTTTAGAATAAAGAGTTTATAACAGAAAGTGATATAAAATATATATATAGTACAATTTAATACTTAGATAATTTAGTAGAAAAGTCAAAATATCAAATTTTATTAATAAAATTTATTAATTAATAAAATTGTATACTTTAAATAATATTGCATAACACATATATCTTAGTTATATCCCATCTTAAATATATCTTCAAAAAAGCTCAATTTCAAAGTGAGAATATAAATAAAATATAATTGTATATAGATATGACATAATTTATTATATAGTATATTAATATATATATGATTAATAAATTTGTATAATATAATTAAGAGGATATAAACAAGATTATATTTATAATAGATGATTATAGGGTTGAAAATTAGAATTAGAAAAAATTAGAAATAGAAATATATCTGAGTGAAATATAACTGAAATAGATTTATATGGAATTAAAATAAGAGAAATCCATCTAGTATCAAAGCTGAAATATAATCAAGGAATATCAAGATATTTACAGATATTTGATGAATATCCAATATCCTAATATAGTCTATAAAGATATAATTTTTTTTGGTATTTGCTGGTAGAAAGATATTTGGATTAGAGAACTTGATATTTGCTAATAGGATGTCTAAGTATAATTAATTAGTAATTAAAAAGCTTAAAAAAATAATTATAAAAAAAATAACTATATAGTAATACTTGAGATGCAAGTGGGAGGGATATAACTAAGATAGAACTGTATATAGATATGACATTATTTATTGTATAGTACATTAATACATATATGATTAATAATTTTGCATAATATAATTAAGAAAATATAAATGAGATTACATTTATAATGAATTACTATAGGATTAGAAAATTAGGATTAGAAAAAATTAGAGATAGGAATATACAGTAACTTATAGAAAAAATAGAATATGAAAAAAAAATTAGCAAGATATAAATATCTTGTTATTGAAGAATTATACAAAGTCAAAAATAGGTGTATTTTATTCATTAAAATGTTACTTATCAATTAATGCAAGTTTTATTTTCATCCATCATTTCTATTTTACACAATAATTTTTTTTATTTTATTTTATTTTAATATTTCATATAATATAACTGAATTAAAAAAAGAAATTCAGGCTTATAAAGATAAGTATAAAAGTATCTTTTTTTGTTTTGATAGTAGATAGAAAACTAAATGATATTTCTAATAATAGTCAAAATAAAATTTTAATTTCTAATATCTCGAATTTTTCATGAAAAATGAGTTTACATTTATGCTTTTTGACAAGAAGAGTATTTATTTTGAGAAATCATCACATTAAAGCAGGTGGACATGACTTTAGTCTATCAAATATACAAGAAGAAAGACAAAACTGGAAGTTTTGATAATGATCCAAGATCTGGCTACATATCAACTCTTTTATTATATTTTAAGTAAAATATAGTATGACTAATACAATCTGAAAAATACTTTATCACTATTCAGATCTAATATAAGCTCAAAAATGAGCTGGATGTTAATTTATCAGTAGAGAGCATATGGAGAATACTTTGAAAAAATAGCTTATTCACAAGAATAAGGTGAAAAAAGTCTTTACTAGTAAAACTCATCAAAAAAAAAGATTAAATTGGGTAAAGAAATACAGAAATTGGATATCCAACAATTAAAAGCAAATAATTTGGTTTGACAAAAGCAAGTTCTAACTATTTGGGTTGGATAGAAGAAAGTACTGTTGGAAGAAGTCTGGTGAATCTTTAAAAAATTACCATATCACACTAATAATGAAATTTGATGGTGATTTAATTATGGTTTGGAGTTGCTTTATCATCAATAAAGTTGGTGAACTCAAAAAAATCAATGAAAAAATGATAGCTGATGTCTATGTTAATATTTTAAATACTAATTTATTAGATACAGTCTGAGAGATAATACTGAAGGATATGAATTTTATCTTTCAACAAGACAATGATCCCAAATATATCTCCAAAAAAGCAAAGTAATGGTTTGTTGATAATGAAATCAACTTGCTTGACTGACTATTACAGTCCTCTGACTTGAACCCTATCGAACACTTGTGGAATGAAGTTGATAGGTGTTTGAGATATTTTTCTGACTCACTTTCATCAAAAGAAGACTTGGAGGAAAAGCTACAAGTCACGTGGAAAAGCATTGATGTCAATTTTTGTACAAAGTTGGTTGACTCAATACCAAAAAGGATAAATGATGTTATAGTGGCAAGGGGTGGTTCTACAAAATGGTAAACTAGGTTAATCAGATTTTTAATATCAAAGAAATTAGAAACTATTGACTTACTTAATTAGCAAACTACCTGCAAATTTCTTCTCCCAATTTGGTTGTATTATGTGGAACACTAAAAAAAAATAAAAAAATTATTGTGTAAAATAGAAATGATGGATGAAAATAAAATTTGCATTGATTGATGAGCAGCATTTTAACGAATAAAATGCACCTATCTTTGACTCCGTACAACTCTTCAATGGCGAGATATTCGTATCTCGCCAATTTTTTTCCTGTGTTCCATTTCTTCCATGAGCCACTGTATCTGAGTGGGATATAACTGAGGTAGATTTATATGGAATTAAAGAAATCCGTCTAGCATCAAAGCTGGGATATAATCGAGATTGGAATATAACTGAGGTAGAACTGTAGACTTAAAGGTGGAAAATAAACGCAAAGTAGTAAAGGCAAGTCCTATTTAGAAATTTTTTTACTTGAAGCATTTCTTTAGCAATCTAATAAGTTAATACTAAACCTAAAATATTGGGGCACAAGCAGAAATTCTGTGCCTAAAAAAAGAGGAAGACATTTTGACGCTAACACTTCTGTCTAGCATGATGCCAACTATGCCCAGCATGGTCGTTTGCAGAGCCCTAATGTACATATACAATGGAATTACATGTACTTTAAGAATTTTTTTGCAGGAAAATTCATTTTCATTTTTTTAATATGCAAGTAATGAACTTATAAACATTTTATATTATGTGTTAGATTACTTTAAATTATATCGTACAAATAGTTGGCATTAGAAAACTTTAAACTTGAATATGTCCATGTAGATTTAATTTATTCTTTATAATAATATCTTTATGAATTTCTTTATATTTGGCACAAAAATTAGAATATGAATACATCTCAAATTGTTTAAACCAGCATCTAATCATAAGATTCCAAAAGCTTTTCTTAATTCGGCAATTGCTACTTCGTAGGTTTTGAGGCGAAACGTCTCGTTTGAGCCAGGTTCATTGGTTGCAACTTACTGTGATTGGAAAACGTTCGTTGGATGTCTGCTTGTTATGATTGGTTGTGCTTGGAAACATTGAATTCAAATTCGTTGATTGTTGCTTGTGGTGGTTGGAAAGGTTGACATAATAAAAGTTCAGGTTCTTTGCCTTTGATTCTCACTGCTGCTGTTTCTATTCTAATGACATTTCCCGATTAAAAGAATAACCATTTCATTGGGTCAAGGTAAATTATCTTACCAATTAATATGATATGTCATAGATTGTGAAAAAAAATTAGTGCATTTTCACAACGATCAGTATTATAAGATTTTTCACACAGTGACTACGGGGTAGATTATTAAACACATTCTCGCTGTCTCAAATAATTGAATATTCAAGTTTTATTATATAGTCGATAATAAACTCTAGACCTTTGGTTAGAAGTTAATCGCTTTAAATCGCAGTTTGTGAAATTTTTGTTTATTGAAAAATTCCCTTACATATACATACTCCACATGCCATTTGTGAATCCCCAGCCTGTGTTACATAATAATACATGTAGCATGATTTTGTGTCGTATTAATAGCAAACTTCATGTAATATGGGTAGATTTTTGTGTTTACGCTGAGTCATGAGACGTATTTTATCATGATAGATGACCGCCTCCAAAAGAATCGCAACTTAAAATGAATTGCTTTTTTTTAGTTAACTTTTCTAACTTTTTATTTCTTTTTTTCGTTAACTTTTTATTGTTGCTTTGTTTAACGACATAACGACTTCTTGGAACGGACGCGACGCTATTGCTTCTTGTGCTTGATTTCTTGGAACGATATATCGTGGATTTCTTTGTAGATCGGTATATCGTCATAGAACGGTGGTTGTGTTTAACTTGCGTGACTTCTTCATAGAACGGCGGTTGTGTTTTAATTTGTTTGACTTTAGAATGGTTCAGAGTAGAGGGAAAAGCTTGTCCTGTTGTCATGTTGCTGCTCGCGATGCTGCTCGCGACCTGTTTATTATTCTAGCTTAGGATTTACGGAAGCAAGCCGGCTTGAACAACCCGCCACCACGCGATGGATATGAGCCTGGTGGAGATGGCGTTGGGGATCTTCGGAGACTTTAGATTATCGGCTGCGGAATAAGTATTAAGCTAAATAAATAATTAAATACTGTGTTATTGTCTCGTCTTGTCTTGCCTTTTTTTTCGTTTTAGAGAGATATAGAATTTCGGAAGCAAGCTGGCTTGAACAACCCGTCACCACGCTACAGAAGAAGCCTGGTGGAGAAGGTGTTTGGTATCTCGGAGATTTGGATAGAGATGATGATGGGAATACGAGAGAGTTGTGGAAAGAGACAAGTGGATTTTTTTATTTTTTTCATTGATTTTCTTTCTATTATTAATTACCCCAGAGATACCTAATTAAATCATCTAAGTAAGGATTTCTTGGGTATTAGCATTGTTCCAATGCGAATTTTTCGCATAAACCAACTGATAAGTCCCGTGAGTTCGGACGAAACCCAAAATTTTACTGGTCTTTTACCACCAATTAAAAATTGGCTCAACGCTAAGCAAATAGAAATACGCATCAATTTTTAGCGATAACATGTATTATAAAAAAAGGTTTATTAAGTCGTTTGCTATTATTCGCGAGAATTTTTGTTCGCTTCCGAAACATTTAAAACTTCTCAACTCTAGATCTTTTAATCTCGAAAGCACTCTGTAAGCACGATCAAATCAATCGATATTGTTCTGCTGGTAATTTTTGTTCATATATATATGCCCGAATCGGGTCAATAAACATAATTACATGTTCAGAAAGGTAGGACGTTGCGGTATATAGCAATATAATAACAACATTAAAAATGAACTTAAAGTTGTTCGTTTTTTTCAATTCACTACTTAAATGCAATAAAACTCGAAATTTTAAAGTGCATATTGTAGATCATAATCCTTTATAAATGCCGCATATAAGACAAAATCATGGCCTGTTACAATTTCGTACACAACAAAAGCTATAAGGACAAAAGTGAGTCATTTATTTCGGTAACTTTGATCAATAGTGATAATAAACAATATGCGTTAAATAAATAAATTCTTTACACTCCAGATTAGTTTTGCATTGCTTGAAAATGCGCCTAATACATGTAATTTCTTCACTTGTTCGTCGTTACAAATTTACTGATACCAGTAACTTATTACGCTGACGTTCACTAATCACTAGTATAATATCTTGATAGATGAGGATTGTGAATAATTGCTGTAAGTAGACATTTCATTGTAATTGGACAAGTGTTGTTTTTACGAAGAAGCAGGATGTGATTTTTACGAGCAGATGATTTTAAAAAAAGAAAATTGTACATTTTTTATTTGTATCATCTTTCTTATTTTTTGGAAAATTCAGAATTATGAGGTGAATGCAAGGATAAAAATCAAATTTAACTTACTTTATTGTATATCTGGTTTTTAGGTCTGATTCGCTAGCATTGATAACACAACTCTAAAGCATAGCCCGTCTGTGATCCATGTCCAATCAACCCGGCAAATGAAACAAGATATGAAAATTGAATATTACAAGAAACCAATGCCTAAATCTGTCTTGGAATACCAATTAAAATGTCGGATGACAATTTTACATATATTCTTGTCCTCTACTCTAACTGTTATCATTCCACTATAAATCACTAGAATCATAAACGGGGTGGCTGAAAATTTAGAGAATTGTTCAGATGATGGTGATCGTTCGCGTTATTAAAATAAATTCAGTTTTAGAAAAGTCCCGACCAACAGAAATCAGGTCTGAACCAGAATCAGATGTCTGCTAACGAAAAATCCTACTAGAATGTTGATTCTGACTTTGCAATAAGTGACTATTACGAACCTTAGAAATTAAACCTTCGAACGAAAGATGAAGTTAAAGTTTTGATTCTGCGATTAAAAATGGCGTACATGGAATGACTCGTTTGAGGATTTGGAAGTATTGAATCTAAATATTGAATTATTCTCTGTTTTAAGGTTCCAACATCAATCATTGTTCTCTCTAATCCAGTGTCCTTATCAAAGAGTGTAGCGGTAAAAAGTAACTTAAGCGAACTCACCCTCAATCACACATAGTCCACATAAAATAGTCAAGATCAATACAATCAAGCATATTCCAAATCCATTATAAACGATTCGATTACCTTTATCAAAGAGTGGAGTAAAATGACTCGAGTAAAATCCAGCCGCAAATCAACATCAATCTCAAGCACCCTTTTAAAGGCATAGGTGAGAATTATATGAATGCGGACTGTTCTGAGATAAGTGCCGGATCCATAGGTTGAGCTGAGTTTTCTACTGTTGGAGAAAAAAAGATGAGTATTGCAACTTCTTATGACTATGTGTACTCCTAGTTTCTTAATTCACAAAAAGTGGTATGAACCATTAACAACAAAAAATGGTCAAGGTGAGATTGTTTTTACAAATATGGGTATGTATATAAATGCTGAACTATTGATCATTTCCAATAAATTATTCGCGGATTTGAGTATAGTCCATTAATCGAAATATGGTATACCGAGCTTAGCCATTTCATGTGGACTAACGAAGGAATTATATGATTTTGTGTGTTCGTTCAGGCCATTCTTCTCCACTCTTCGGAAGTAAGGGCACGGATTAATGAGAATTAGAGAATCAGAGAATAATTCAGCCGTTTGAATCTGCAGCAGCATCTCACAATACTTACAGAACTTCAACCAAGTCATTCCATGATGTGTTATGCCATTTTTGTGTGTGTGTGTGATTATATTCTCAATCTTCTATTAATAGGATCTTTCATCCGAAACATTAATTTCCTAGGCTTTTCATTTCTTGTAGAATCAATTGTTCTAGAAAAAATATTTTTCATTAGGAAACAAAAAGTAATTTCATAGATAAAACATTTGAATTATAAATTAACATCAAACAAACAGGAAGGAAAATCAATTAATCCGTTCAATAACAAACAAAATTATATTCTCTAATAATATTTTTTGAAGAACTAGTATTTACTACTTAAGTGTGAATATGAATTATTAGAGAGTTAATGTATATTTACCTCGCTGCTGTTCTAATTCATTTGAACTGGATAATATTAATGAAAAATCAAATTATTTAATACCACTTTATTTATTATTTTTGTTATTCCTCTGTGCAAGATCAGCTTAAGTTATATGTTCTTTCTTGATTTAACAGAACATTACATGTTCATAACTTCGAAATTCTATTTAATGAATGAATGCTGAATATGTCACTTGATATTTTCCTTCTTTAATCATAGAAAAATGAGATAATGAACAGTAAATAAAAATATGATCAAATGTAATTTTACTTTCGCTTGTACAGGTCAATTAATATGCAAGTTCGTATATTTAAGAATAAAATGTATCCGCTTAGTTTGGAATTGAAATTGGTTTTTGTGGTAAAAATACGATTGTATTTGAATGAAGTTTTTGTTTATGTTATAGGAATTTTTCATCTCGTTGACAAATTCTTTCCATTTCTATATTATAATTTATGATATTCAAAAGAGCTGTAGTGCAGTCACTCCTCCATATAATCACACCCTCAGGAACAAAAAAAGAAAGATGCTATGGAGGTCAATTTTCTATGCTGTATATAACTGGAATCGGGAAAACCTGTAATTATATGGAAGGTGTGATTCTATAGGGTGTGACTGTATAGAGATATGGCTGTACTGAGATGCAAAGCATTTGGTTTGCTTGCTTATTAAATACTTGATAGAGTGTATAAAGTTGTGCAGTCGGTTGGTCCGTTTCTGGCGTATGTTACTGACATTTTTAAATATTATATTTACCTCATTCTTTGGTATTAATAATTGTTGTTTATATGATGCACACAGTCTAAAGACATCAATGTGTTGAAAATTTTACAGATCATTACTTATAAAATTAAATATGATTGGTTGGATTTTTTTACTTTTTTTAATAGCAATACTGAAATTCATAATTATTATTAAAAATTTTCTTATTTAAAATTTTTATTGAGAATATATATAGTTTGATAATACTTCTTAAAATCTATTAAATTATGTATTTTTTGTCATTTAATTTTATATATA